TATATGTATATGCCAAATCACTGCTCAAGCAATATGAAAGGCAAGCTTTGTACCCGAATTCTCATATTTACGCAAGCGGCGGTGTCGCACCCGCCACTTACCGTAACGCTACGCTTGCACAGCGTGAAAGCGCGTATAGGGAGGCGCGATCGGGTATACGCTCCCACACAGGAGCACCACAAAGATGCGCTTTAGCGATTCGACTAGGGCAGTATTCTTTTCAGAAGACTCGAACCCCGGCGACCACTGCATACTCTTTGACAACCTCGAAAAGAGTGAAAGCTTCTGTAGAGCTGTCGTATTCCAGTTTGGATTGACCCGTGAAAATCGTGTTTCTGCTGCGGAGTTAGAACCACATTTAGAATTATACGTATAAATGCTACACAAAGAGCTTAAAACACAAGAGGCGAAATGAAATCACTGATTATTTCGCATTGTGCATTTGAGCGCAACTGGTCTTTTCTAGCGCCCATGGATCATCAATAGATTTTACATGCGATAATAAACGTTGAGCATTGCACCCATCATTCTCAGCCTGGGCTATGTGCAGTGTTTCGATGCGTTGTAAGGTGCAATCAACATCCCTGTTTGTGATTTTGGCAACAAATGTCTCAGCGCTAATAAAAGGGGATGCTAAGATTAACTAGATCAAAGCGAGACTGTAAAAGAGAGAGGATCGCAAAGGTTGCACACAAATTGATAAGCTGTTGCTAATTTCACCTGTTGTCTAACATTTCGAGGCTTGGAAAATATCCTACTATATATAATTCGCTAAGTGTGTCTGTTGGTTTGTCGGTGTGTGTGTATGTGTGTATGTCTGTATGTCTGTATGTGTGTATGTGTGTATGTGTGTATGTGTGTGTATGTGTGTGTATGTCGGTGTGTGTGTCTGACCGGGAATTCATAACTCCTGCCCTCGTGCACCCAAAGCGTTCAAGACTGGTAGGATTACATTTTTCGTACTAACAGTGGAACCTCAGCATATTAGCAATTATGTAGGATATCAGGGGAAAGTAGGTACTCGGTGACAAGAACTGATCATAACTGATAAGAGAAGATAAGGGACCCAATAGAGGCCAGCTACCGATCCTAACGTGTTCGGTATCTACGATGTTTTTAGCTTTGACCGTTCAGTATGTTTCATTCGATAAGACGGGATGGTAGAACAGGGGGACAAAAGTGAGTGGTAAGTGCAATCATAGGGACCCATCAGGGCAATAAGATAAGCAGAGGGGATTTCTGTTCATTTCTTGCTATTAGATTACGACGTCTATCCAGCAAGGTTTGTAACTAAATGAAAGATCCTCTTTGATCGACATTATTTGCGACAAAACTTAACCGACCGCCAATAATCTGGAATCCTCAACTAATGATATCTCCGTAAAGAAAAGGGTTCACTAATAAGGAACATCTGATAACGGTGTTATTTTCACTCAGAACATCTCTACAGCATCATCTTCGATTGTCTAACAGCTAGTTTTTCATGGGTGCTTATTTCTAAGAAAGAGAGCAAAAGTTCGAGACTCCCAACCGAAGGCGTAAGCACCGACTTTAACTGAATACCATTTGCACTGCCTTGTGTTAGTCTTGTGTCAAATTTCGTGTACAGGAAACTGTTATTTGTTTCAAAAAAGGAGTTGAGAGTTAGGCTTACTATAACTTTATCAAAGAATTAGGGAAGCTTTCAATTCTGTTGTGCCAAAGAAGGATTTTGTGCTCTGTTTCAGTATCATACTCTTACTCAGCTGAACAGTGGGAAAAAACACGAAAACTATGAACTTTGAAAAATAGAAAAGAGTTCTTCAGTTTAACATTTCTCGAGATAGGGTGTTTGACACAAGAAGGAGGAGAGCCGTCGTTAGCCGGGCGATCCGACTGGTAATATTATCAGGGAGGTAGGATGGAGTGGGAATAATATCATCAATGTCGAACTCCTCGCATCAACATTGCTCTCCAAAATATTTCATATAACTTTCACTTTAATTAGAGGCTGTCTGAAACGTTGACTCAATAGCTGGGACCGAAGTTATCATAACGAGCGGTCCACCAGGTATCCTGATTCAGCGACGTAGAATTTAGTTTATCAAGCTGTATATGCTTAAATAGTTGTGCCGTGAACAGCGAGTGATCCACTGCGGCTATACCGGAGCGCACATTACGGAAATTGTCAAACGGATTGCAAGATATATGAAATGGGTTGCAAGGTTACGAAATGGGTACGCGAAACTGATTGCAAGCCTGCAAAGATGTCTGCAGCATTCATGAATTGATGAAGTCCCGTAAATGATGACAGCTACCGTTCTGCAGATACGGAAGAGCGATTCAACAAGAATGTTCAGCATACTGTTTTTCACGATGACGCTTCCTGTGTTTACCAAAACACATGAACCTAAACGAGTCTATTTTGGGATTGTCTTCGCATAATTTTTTGCTGCCTTTTTACAGATGGCAATGAAGGGCACGTTTTCAAGAAAATCTAGCGTATAGCGGCGTGAACGCTGACACCCGTCACACCTATTGCTGTCTTTTTGAAGCTGCTGAAATAGTTTTATCTACTAGATTCATGCTTAAAATTTTCTAACCAAACCAGCGACACCAACTCCTTGTTCTTTAGTGGGTCATTCTCTGGATACCTACTATCCAGGAAGTACTTTGAGCAAGATTCTTAATGTGAAGGAAATAGCCTATGGACTCTTTTGCCGCCTATGTACCCGCGCAGGCCTCAGAAGAAAGCCAAGTCCCGGAGTGGGACGTCATTTCAACCAGCATGTGTTCGGACGCACCAGAGGCGAAATAACAACATCACACAATATTATGCTCATTCTAGCTCTCTCATAGCATTATCGTGTCACTGCCCTCTAGTATAAGACGGTTTCAACATTTTTGAATGTCCTATCTCGAGAAAACTAAAAAACCTTAAAATGACATCAAGTCCTGCCGCGATTTAAGAAAATTTTGCATTTTTCATTCTTTCCAGAGAAAACTCGTCCAGAAATAGGAGAATGTTCACGTCAAAATTTTCCTATTATACATTGCATTTCAGTGGTATACGTCCACCCCTCCTCTCAACAAAAACTTTACTTATAGGGGTGATCCAAATTAGGAGCATGGATTAGGGAATTCGCTGCATAAGAATACAACGATAAATAGGCTTTCAGATTTTCAAGTTGACAAAGAAATGGATTATAGGCGCTTTTCGAATTTCGTTTTATAGTATACGTCCAGTTTAAGTAACAGTTAATTTATACGAACTCAATACTGCACTTCATGAAAATAAATAATCAGTTAGGGCACCCGGTTTGAATGAGCGCTCCATGAGTCTGTGTGGTATTCTCATTGTTATGTTTTTGAGGACTGAAGAGTCGATGTTTCTCCACGCCTCCATGACCGCACTTCGTAGTTCGTCGATGGTGAGCAACTACCTGCTTTTGGCAACTACGTCGCACAATTATTCCCCAAAGGTTCTCCATTGGGTTCAGATCAGGATTGCACGCAGGCCACTCCATAACATCAACTTTCTTTTGCTGCAATCATGCGGACGTTGACTTGCTCGCATGGACATTTGCATTGTCCTGCTGGAAGATCAGCCTTTGTCGTCGCCTGCGGCTCAGAAACGGCCACTTGGATTTCAAAACTTGCTGTTACTCTGCGAGTTCATTCGACAAGATAAAAGGCGAGCCTCAACTTGCTATCCCAGCCGTAGGCACACCATCAGTGAACTACCACCAAGGTTGCACCTGCTGAACAGCACTGGGTCCTTCTTCAGATTACGCCCATAACATCTCGATCGGTGGAGCCCATTCAGGTTGGACTTCTTCTCGTCGGACAAGATTACCTGCTGACTTCAAATTGCTTAGAAGTGCACGCCAAAAAAAATTTGACCACGGATTGGAAACAGGTGCAGTAGTGAAGCTAGGCTGCGCCTAGCTTCACTACTGCACCTGTTTCCAATCCGTGGTCAGATTTTTTCGAGCAAAATCAAGACGAGCCATCTTGTATGAGTCGGTTATGCATGGCGCTCTCCTCGTAACTTCTCTCACAATGTTGCCGCTGCGTTTGTTAGCTCTCCAAACGGTCGTTTTCGACGCAGAGAGTTTTAAGTTAGGATCGGTCTGGATCCGCACGGATCTGGTTTACGCTGCAGGTGCTTTTCGAAGCTCTCCTCCGAGTTTCTCGTTCAGCTTCGCTGACATTTTGTGTTGACACCAGCGAGCACCTCCGTTGTCGTAGGCTTCAGGATCACTGAGGTAGGAGGAAAGCAAGCAGTGAGTCCTACCGAAATGCCTGGCAATGCGTCGTTGCTGAGTCCGACCTCATGAAGAGCTCGAATCTTGGACTTTTCTTCTGCAGAGAGACAGAGATCACGAGCTTTCACAAGAAGACATCGCTTTCAAGTGTGGTACGGACATATACCCGGTTGAAATAGGAAAAACGTTCTCGAGTCACGTATCAGGGGTGGACGTGACGGTCGAAATTCAGAAAAATGATTCTAAAAAATTTTCCTGCTGACTTTCCTGTCTGAAACGATGTTGTTCACTGCTTTCTTGAGCACGAATCTGATAATGTGTGCTGCTTAATTGGGCAATTCCTTTTAGAAGTTTTTGTTAAGTTGATGGATGGACGTATACCACTGAGACGCACTGTATGATGAGCCACGCATTTGATATCCCTCGGAACCGAGTCCAAACGGATAGTTCACTCGATCTACATAGATGTTGACATAGGGACAACCGGTAAGAAATGCAAATGAGCGAGAGTCCTAAAAATGAAAACCCGGATGTAATTCTTTGGGGATTATTAACTCTTCGACAACTTTAAAGATTTATTGACGCTCCGCTCCAAACTCAACAATAATGGATACGACCAAACATTAGCTACAAAATTTCCAGAACAAATCATTCTTCACGCAATTTGTTTCGTTATGGCCACAATCTATCAATTACAGGTAGTTTGGAGTGAATGTATTGAACTAACACCTTTAATAATGCTTCACCAGTAGCTTACTGCTTCTCGCTGACTCGTTCGATGGGGATACTTCTGCCAGAGTCAGCTGCCTTAGCCAACTTTGGTGCTTCTATGGCAAGGCGGCCATTATTGGAAAGCGAAGAGCGGATAGCTTCCAAATCAACGTTTTCTGGTAGCATCCATCTTCGAACAAAAGACCTAAAAAATACACGAGGCAAGTCAGATTTTAAAGTCCCTGAACGTGTGATGCAATGACTGAAGCAACTGGATAGAACTTACTTCATCGAGTAACTGCTATCCACTTTCTGCTCTTCCTTTCCTTCGATGGTCAACTGACGACCATCAATATTTACCTTCAGATTCTCCGGCTTGAACTTGGATACATCAATCGTTATCGCAAACTTTGATTCATTGTTGATCATCTAGGAGCGAAAATTCTGTTCCAAAAAATAGCTTATAAGCAATAAAATTAAATATTAAATTGATTTAAAAATATAAAGTGATAATGATGAAGAATCCTTCTCATTTATAAAGCACTAACTTGGTGTGTCGGTTTGTCGGTTTGGGTGTTTGTCAGTATGTAGGCTTGTCGGTGTGTCCGCCCGCAAACTTTATGATTACGACAACGGTAGTGATATGGAAAGCCCAGCTCTCACATTTCATTCTTATATATAAAGGAGTGAACTGGTGGGTACGTTAATGGATTAGAGTGAGTAATGCGAAGCGGAGTGAGTAATATGGGGTTGGGTTGGTATTTCAAAACTTTGATTTCGATCTGTATTAGCATCGGGCAATGTAAGTCTACACAAAAGTCGTAGGTGATTATGTAGTTGGAGTACCTCCGCGTTTTTTTCAAGATTGAGCACTACAGCGCAGACAAGGAGGCTAGTCTACATATAATTGTGCGGAATAATTTTAGCCGAGAATAAAAAGTTTTCTAACCTAAACTTCATGAAGAAAGAAGTACCGGGTGGGGGAGTCATTTAACTATTCAACCCACACCCTATCCTGGCTTTCTGCACGGTAATCATCTCACCTCCTCCCCC